TATTATTATTATTATTATTATTATTATTATTATTATTATTATTATTATTATTACAATAATAATACTATTAAGTCACCTGTTAACACTAAGTATTGTTATTTTTATTTCGGTGCTAACAGTGTTTCATTTCGTTTAAATATATTATTTCTCAAGAAAATATTTCACAAGACTAAAAACAAAAAAAAGGTTGTAATTAGATAAATTTAGGTAAATCCACTGTTGAACATAGGCTGTCTCACAGGGTTTAAACATGTGACTATTATATTGCACCTACAATGGTGTAAGTATTTATGATTATACATATGATATATATGGATCGCACATTGCAATTATATACGAATGTTATGACGTGATAGGATACAATATGTTAGCAATAAATTATTAAGCAATAGTTTAGTAAGTTCCTACTATTTTATTCTAAATAAAATTATTTGTTTACTTTTATCCTAACAAAATATATTTTGTAGAATAGATGTACTTAATACTACACAAATAAAATATATTATTTATGTATAATATTATTGATGATTCCTATTGCGCTCTCTTTAGTATTCTGTAAAAAGCAATATTGAATTTATATTTCATAGTATACTGTTTACCTTTATGTTTATTCATAATTAATATTAATAAATAATAATGGTCTCTATTGTCAATCGTTTATTTATTTATAATTATCTTTAACTATTGAACTCAATCGTTAATTAAATGAAAGTTCTCAATAAAAAATAAAGAATTAATAGTATCAAGCTTATTATTTTTGTCAATATTTTAACATTTACCTATAATCATTTATTATTATTCTTCCTTCATCCATTAGTTATGTGGTAACAACAAAATGTATATCTTATATACGTCTTTCCAATGGGTGACATGCATTTGCTGTTATAAGGGGAAACTAGAGAGACCTTTCCTTCTTCCATTGGCCTAGGACTTAAGTTAGTCTTGTAATAGTTGAAATGTAAAAATCATAAATTAGACAATTGAATAAAATTATTTCGGAATAAATTTAAAGTTTTTAGGTGATTTTTGATTTTAACCGACTGACGGTTATAATTTATTATAACAAAAACATAATACAATCTTTACTCAAAGAATGAGTGCGTATATTATTATATGGGTAATAATGATGTTAAAAATATTGGCCCATATACTTGGTGTATAGTAGCTACTCGGCTTGTAGTTCAGCGAGAAAACGCTCCGTTTTTACGTAGGTATGTTATTATTTATTCCGAGGGGCTCCCTTCAAACCATGTAATTAATGTAATTCGTTGAGACTTTATTGGCTACTCATTACGTTGTGATAATGAGGAAGCTGCACAATTGATACCTAACTTTTGAACATGTGGCATATCTCAAAACGGTTCATTAGAGGTAAGTACATTAATTTTCATATAAATAATAGATATGCTATACAGTAACGATGTCATTATTTTACGCCTGCGAATCTCCAATGTACACGAAAATAATAATTAGTTTAAATAAATAATGTTGCATGCATATTATTGTAGTCGAATAAGTACCTATTTTATTTTGTTTTATGAATACAATTATTATTCAAAAACTATTATCAACTAAATTATTTTATTTTTATATCCGTGGTGTTATTTATCGCTTATATCAATAAAAACGATATGTTGTTAAGCCGGTTAATTAATAGTATATTATTATTAATTTAATAGTATTAAAAAAAAAATCATATGGAATTTTTCTTTACTATCTTTTTATGAATCTAAAACTCTGAGCTAATGCCTTCAGTATTAATGATCCCTTATATGTGACATCCCAGAAATCATATTATATTTAATAAATACCGTTTCTCTATTAGGGGTATCTTATATTATATAACCATATCATACCAGGAAAAAAAGAATACGCTATTTTCCCTTCCTTGAATTAAATAAATTAATAGCATTATATTGATGGCGTAAATTATGGATTTAGTGCTTCAACTTTGTTTAGTATGAGGGTGCATGATAGTGGGTGGTTGTGTAGAATTTCACGTTTAGTCATCTTTTTCATTTATAGTGAGCTTAAAAAATAAAGGATCGAGAACTTGTGCAAAGAGTTTGTGTGGAGTAACGGAAGATTTTACCGTAGGAGTTGGTAAGAATCAGGAGACGGCTCTTAGCCTTTATTTATTCTCTATAATAATGGATGTAGCGTGCAGCCGGTTACTAGACGGTGTAAAGTACTAAGTGTTAAGACTGGGACAAGTTCACTAAATATACTTTTAAAGAATACTTTTTACGATATTGTTGGTAATTTATTCAACACTTAGAAAAATCAACGGAATTACAACTACGAACCTATATAAACCTATAATAAATCTGAAAAAAGTTAATTATAGGTTGGATGAGTGAAGGTTAGCTCTTGAAGTTAAGGAATTGACAATTAGTAGAAATAAAACATACAGTACATAGAGTATGACTTTGGAAGAAGATACCAAGAAATTGAGGGTACGAGGAGACCAATGACAATAAGTGGATTATAGACTGAGATGGTTTGGGCATGTGATAAGACGAGAGAAAAAGTTCAGTAAGAGTTATTATGAAAATGAACGTTGAAGGGAAAATAAGAAGAGGAAGACAAAAAAAAAAGAGATGGTTAGATACGATTGAGAATGGTATAAGGATCGTTGATGTTTGCGTAGGGGATGTAGAAAATCGAAACGAGTGGAAGTTTAGAACAAGGATGATCGATCCCAAATAGTTGGGAGAAAGGCGAAGGAAAAGAAGAAGAAGAAGTAAGCTTGAATCACACGCGTGTCTCAGAAATCAATAATCAATCAGGTGTAATGATATAATATATTCACAATTAGTTTTTAGTTAATATTAATAACATATATTCTATTATTGCATATCGCATAGAATTTAGTGTTATCTCACCACAGAAAACACTAAAGATGGAACTACCTTTCATATATTTTTTAGCGTGTGGAATCACGTCGTCAAGGTTGATTTTGAAATATTTATTATTTTAATTGTAAATCAATGATCTAACGACGGCAAGCAGTCACATTAATTTTCATGTGCGCGAGCATCACGTGTGCATGTTTGTTGCACGTAACATTTTGATTTATTGTTCATCAATTCCCTCAATTCAGATAACCCCATAGTCGTTGTATCCGTGAACTCCTCCACTATTTCGGATAATAGAGGTAGGAATACTTCCACGAAGGATCACAAGTGGTTGACACAATGAACCATTGTGCTTTTGAGTAGCAGAAAATCACACAAAAACAAAAAAGATATATAAAATATGCAGACCTAACCACCTATAATACATTACAAATGATAAATAATATAAATTTTTCTTCATTTTTGATGTTGTCTAAAAATGTTAAGTATTCATAATCAATAAGTTTATTATACAAATTGATTAACATTTATAAAATGAAGAAATACCGAATGTAAAAAAAAAAAGTGTAAGTTTATTTAACTCTCGTAAGTTTTGTATTTCATTTATAATTACAAATCATTTTAGTTTATAACAAAATTTAAGAAAAATTCAACGATATGAAAATGTAAAATAACTGAAAAAATAAATTAAAGAGTATTTAAACTTCCTTGTTAATTCGTAATATATTCCATACAACATTATTCTTTTTTCTTGTTAACAATGTTTGCAAAAATATAGAAAAGGTTCTATAAATAGGTATTTTTTTTTCGTAATAGCGCTTCTTAAATAAAAAAATTTTTGAAATAAGAATTTTGACGTTTTATTAAATTTCACCGAGCAAGCGTTCTAAAATAAAACCCTTATTAATGCGTTTTAAAATTTGTGATTTTAATATTAAAGTACAAAAATTATTTTATTACATGATAGTAAACTACACTACACACTTATATAAAATCTTAAATTACGTAAGACACGATGTTCAACGTGTATGTGTATAATCAAGGCTAAAAAGTTCATAATTTGTTCTTGATTTTTAAAAAAATCAAGTTGAAAAGTCAAAGTTAAGTTAATTGTAATTGAGTTATATAACGAGTGACTTAATCTTTTTTTTTTAAGTAACTTTTTTCTTAACGAGTTTATTTATTTTTCTCTTTATATAAAAATCCTTAGATTTAAAGTAACATTTTGTGACTATGAAAGCTCTAAAAATACTTTGTTTCATAAAAAGAATTTCCACTGAACTCAAATTGATAGCGCCACTTAAAGTATTATATTGTGCTCTTGTAAGATCAATTTTAGAGTTTGCTACTGTTACTTGAGACCCTAATACAGTTATGTACAAGTAGGAACCGCATTGAAAGGGTTCAACGTAAATTTTTAAACTATGCTGC